TGATGATGGCCTGATTAAGCAATCAATGGGCAGGACTTCTCTAAACATAAATGACGGCAACTTTCTTTCGCCGGACGCGACCGCGATGCGGACAGAAATGAGTTAGCATACAACGTGTTGTGCCTATAGTTGCCGTGGGCGCTACTTTCATGATGTAGCGCACAAAGGTCGAAGTCATCCAGCATAATCGCCTCAGTCTCGCCAATGTCATCCTTTGCCCACGCGCTGAGGTAGTGAACCCGCAGTCCAGACGATGAGGGCACTCGTAAGTGGCGGGGCGAAAGTGTTGCGATTCATAAGCAGGGCATAAGCGAGGAGAAGTCGGGATCGGAAGAGTGGCGGTAAAGAGGCGAGGGGTCGACGGCATGTACCGAGAATATGCAAGAGGTGACAATGACATCTCGCTAGACGGTCTCGCGGGTTGCAGTCACGTGTGGTTTTGTCGCGAACTTCCGTAAATATACATACTGGTGTCGAACTGACGAGGACTGCTTACGTACGTGGTATTCCTAAGCGACATGTAGAGCGAAGTCAGTTAAGAAAACTCCCTTACTCCTCTACTAAAGCGGCCTGCGTGTGAAGGGGAAGCGGGAAGGAACTCGGCGATTTCGGTACCGGCCGGCATTTGCCGGAACTAATGGCCCACGTTCACGTACACGACCGCCACTTGAGCGCGCCCACGCGCTCTTGCACCCGACCACCACCACACACGGCACATCCGCATACATGGCCTCCTCTTCATCTTCGATTGGAATAACTGCTATTTCAGTTGATCAAGGCGAGTGGTGGAAGACTTTACCGCCAGGCTCAACATTATTCGACGAGAAATTCTTCAATCACTACGACTGGAACCACGAAGACGGCGATGAATGCATCAGACTGCTAGAATTCGGCGCGCGGGTCCAGCCCAATCCTTCCCTGCTGCTTAAAGCGATCTCACTGCTGAAAATGTTCGTCAAGGATCCCGCTGGCGGCACCGTCGGCCCGGCGTTCGAGGAATATCCTGGACTGCGTGCGATGGTGGACATGATAGATCACGCGATCCAGTCCGTGGGCGGCTGCGTCAATAGCCGAAATCTTGGTGTACGCAAGCCTCAATCGGTCCAGTGACTTACACGACGTGCTGACTGCCTCGCCAGATCATCAACTTCAGCTTGCGCTCTGTCTACGTGTTATATTCTCTCTATTCTTTGCGGCAAAGAGCCATGTATTACGGCGCGATGCTCAGTTATGAAGGACGGCTGGTACGGGAGGATGAAGCCGAGAGCCTGCTAGTGGAGAAGTCCAAGCTGGCGTACCAGAGCGAGCACATCGTGCGCAATCTTGCGGTGGTCGACGACATCGTCGAGAGAATGTATAACGACATGCACAGGGGTAGATTAAGCCACGAAATGATAGTCAACGTGTCTGGGTTCTGCCTCAAGCTAAACCTTCTTCATATCGAACAGCGCAGGTGCGCTGCCTGTTTTGTTACATTAATCATCAGACTAAATACCCCACAGCACAGCAGGGCACGCCGGCGAAAGCACCTTCTTTACCCAAATGCGCCGCGATAGATCTTACCAGTCATACGAATTTCTCCTTCGTGGCATCACATGGCCAGGCATTGTCGGCGAGGCTGAGACGTTGCGCGAGATCATTATCACCGCCGAGCTACAAACACGTCCTCACGAGGGTATCGAGGTGCAGCAACGGTTCATCCGTCGCCTTTTTGGTCGAACCCAGGTATCCAGGAAGAATTATATGCTCACCCATGACCTGTGGCGGTTTGCGATCCGCAACCCGTATACAATCTGGACGGATTCGCACAACCAATGTCTGTGGTGCGGAAAGGATGACGCCCCCCGGCGATGCACCCATTGCAAAATTGCACTGTACTGCAATGAGAGTTGCCAGAGACTGTGAGCCGGGCAGTTCACATTTATGCATAGGGAATTGCCCGCTAACGTACCACAATAAGGGACTGGGGCCGCGCTCATAAACCGGCGTGCGCTATATATACAATTGAGGCTCTACCGCCTCCATCCGACGATGACCAAAGCAACACAGCCGATGACGGCCAAACTGGCGCCGACGACGGAGCATCCGGTGCCGATGGCGAAGAAGCCGGCATCGACCTCTAGTCTGGGCACCCGCGTGGCTGCTTCCAGCAAAATATCTTGCACGCATGACCTTTTCTTATAATAGTACTCATCCCATTTGCCTAGACTCACCACTTCGTCCCGTATTGCCCAGGTATCGTGACGTCATGTTCCCACAATCCGCGAGACCATCTCGCGGTTTGCATCACGTGCCCAGACTTCGTCATCATTCATGCATCCACAGCCCCACTACGCACGCGGCGTCAACTCCCCAGGTATTTGCTCTCGATCAAATCTGCAAGTACAGTTCTTAACTCAGTATCAAACTTTTGCACAGAACGTCGCATATATACCAAGCATGTCTTGGATCGCCGGTGAAAACGACGTAAGTGAGTTACGAGATCATGCATCCATCCCTGAGATGCGGCTGTCCCGAAGTGGACAAACCTGCCGCATACCGGGTCATTGCAAAGGCTGCTGCTCTGTCTGTGGGCCTTTCGCTTTGAGGATGGTAAGATGTGGAGAACTTTCGGCACTACAGTGGACGAACATAGATCATCGGCCGGACCGGCCGTGATGATCTTCAAAGCAATACCTTTGACAGAGCTTGCGAGACGGTCGATACGAGCCTGAATAATAGCTGGTATCTGGAAGCAAAGGCTTTTTCCAGCACCGGTTGCAACAGTCTGGCATACGTCTTTGCCTTAGGTGCCATAGACACAATAATCGTCTATGCCGCTTTGGGCAAGATCATATTATGCTATTGTAACCGGTGCTGGGAAAAATCCTATGCTTCCAGGTGCCAACTGTGATTCAGACCCACTTCGACCGCCACATAGCGCTGATGTTCTAGCGTGACTTCGTATAATCTGAAGTTGCGTTTATGCTCTACAGTCTCGGACATGTATCCTGTCCCCTACCACTCTTAAAACGAAAGTCCGAATGGCAGAACCGCAGCCTTCATAATGATCCGAGACTCCAAACTCAACCCATCCAAACACTAATCCCACCTTCTCCAGAGGATAATCGCGCGTACAGTCCACGACGTGGAGTCGGCCCCGGAGTTTGTGGCATCAACTACATCGCGCAGTACAGATACGCTATTGCTTGTCTATCACGTAACCTAGCATGATTGGATTTAATATCTCGAAAGAATCCTTCACGAACGGCAGCTCTTTGTGATATACCGTCGTAAGCAAAAACTTCCTGTTGCCGTGTTATCAGACGGCTCGTAAAGTGAAAACCGCCCCCATAGATTATCCCCCTAAGCGCATACTTTAATCCGTACACCGTCATAGTAGCCGTGCAGTCTCTCACAATGCCGTTGGTCTCGAGGCAGAGTACTGGAGCCTCTCGTGGTAATATTGGTGAGATTATCGTACAATCCCCATGACACAAATTACACGACCTCCGAGAAGTGAGGCTGTGCTTGAATGAATCCGTAAGAGTTCTACAATTATCGTCGGGCAACAGCGCCCACACCGCCTGCTTATTTCCATGTCGCACTTGGACCTCTTTGCATCGTACACAGCGGAAGGACACACCCGGCACGTCTCGCGCAATGTACAAGAGTTTGGCACAGACGTCTCCCACCCCATTCCCCTCATATCCAAATATCTCAGGGTACTGCGTGATTAACGCCGCCCTTAGTGCATCGCGGCCGATGTCAAGAAGTTCTGGCTGGCCTGTCCGGAAGGCCTCAGCGCCGTTCTCAACTAGAGATGGCCACAACGGGTTGAGCGTCCCAAGATGTTCCTTTTGTCGTGGTGTACAATCTCGCAAGATACCATACAATACGAAGAGTATAGAGTCAAACGCACAGGAGTTTCGTCTCCAGGCCGGTCCGTAATGATCAGTCGTGCTAACGCTAGAAGACGAGTGATGCTTACGAACGTGTTGCACAGACTGAGAGACATTATCCAGCTTAACCTTCTTCCTCGGAGTGAATATCTCTTCAGGACGGCCAGATGATCGTGTATCCGTGTCTCTACTCCGAGAATCCATTTTGTAGTTATTATTTTCTGGCGCCTCTGATCTCGACGTATGAATATCAGAGCCATCAAGCTTGCCCGCGCTGTCCGCTTTGTATTTCCAGCGCTCGTTATCGGCACACGGAGTCAGAACCTCGCCAGCTGACCAAGAAATGGAAGCATGTACATCCGACGGACTAGCTGGATTGTTGTATACTAGCTGGTAGCTTCGAATCAGACGTTCTCGAGTTGTGCCGCGCACATTCCTATTCAGTTTACCTTCACAGCGTAGTCTAGTGATCTCGTTGAGCATCTCCAGTTCGCGGAACTCCTGCCGCAGTCCTCGAGGCAAGGTTCCACGCAAATACTTCATCTGCGGCATGCGAATGACCACAGTCCCAGCACAAGTAGACGAGCGAGACAATGCTGTATAGACTGAATGATACGACCTGCAGTGCTGAAGATCGACGACATTCGAAGGCCGTGTCCTGCCTTGGGAGCAATAATCTGTCATAGCAAAATTCGGATGAACCGGAACTTGTGTCCGTGAGATAGGTACAATTTGGCCGCTAGGCAACGTCACGTTAATAGTTTGAGTTTGTGGAGATATCGGTACCACATTTAGAGGCAGACCGTCCAGTTTGATTTCCTTCTTTGGGTTAACCAATTGGACAAAAAGAGTATCAAGGGCTTCTTTATGTTGACCAATGCTTCTTGTCTTCCAACCAGCCACCTTACCTTCTGCCCCGTTTGTGATACACAACTCAGTTGCGACGTTATGTTTAATGAGAACTGGCATTCCCATACAGAGCTTCAAGACGCCAGTGTGATGCTTAGTACCTGCTGGATCGACATCCCACACTGCATCTTGCAACCGATCGGGAAGGCGACCCGCCTGCCCAGACAACTTCTTGTTAGACTTCCGTTTTCGCCCGCTATCGTCCTGAGAGACAGAGACGCTTCGCAAAGTATCTACTGAGTAAAAGTTATGTAATGTCTGCCCAGTATCTTTGGCGAATGCCTTACAACCAATCCCGTTGACTCTGTCGCGGCAGTGATTTCTACCAGTAATCATAGAAGAGTGCCGGAAGCGTTCACTCGACAAGTCAATGTTAGGATTAAAACGACTTGCGACCCTGCTTTTTATAAGTTCTATGTCGTCCTGGGTACAGGCATTGTAACGCAGATTTTCAAGCATGCGACGATACTTCTCGTCCTCCGCGGTACTGTTCTGGTGTCGCATATTCTGCTTCAAGATCACAACATCTGTAACCTGGTGCCACAGAGCCCGTCCAATATTGCCTTTCTGACTCTTAAGGGCGTTTGTAGTATGAACCGTCGATTCGATGTCGATATTAAACAATCGTCTTCCGTCTATAGGCGGTAGTTGAGCAAAGTCGCCCGCCCAGATCATGCTTCTTCCGGCGAAAGGAATTGTGAGCTGACCAAGAGCGTTACACATCTGTGAGCTGATGTTACATAGCCCTTCACAATTGAGCATCGATATTTCGTCCATGAAGACATATTCGACTAGTTTCAGCCTCTCTCTAACGGCTTTTAAAGCCTTCGCGCCCGTGTTCACTCTGCCACTCTTACCATCCTCTCCACCATTGTTGAATGCTAGTACAGAGTGATACGTTTGTCCTCCGACTAGGGATGCTGCAGTTCCTGTGGGAGCTACAATCAAGAAAATATGAGACTTTCCACATAGCTTAAAGAAATCGATCAAAGCATTAATGACACGTGATTTACCAGTACCGCCCATGCCACCAAGATGCATAGCCAACGGCTTTTTGACTTTCAGCAAAGAGTGGTTTGCGACGATCCTAAAAGCGCGTTCTTGTTCAGCATTCAGGGTAAACTTCTTTATACAATCATCTATCCGTTGCCGGTCCTCCGTAGTCGCTTCAGTGCAGTACTTAGTAAAGTACGATTTTTCCATAACTTCTACACCGTCAACAGCATCAACTTCCATGTAATCAAGCCGTGGCTCTGGGGCGTCAACGTCGATTTCCTGCATTCTGACCATCCGCTCGTTAATCTCCCTCTCCTTAGCCCTGTCCAATAAATGTGACCATTCCTTCGCTGTATGCCCTTCACCATCAACATTTGGATCCATAGCCATAGTCTTGGGACCATCACGGGTTATTCTACTCCAATTTGATGCTTGTAGTGCATCTTCCATCTCCCGCTTCATTTGATCAGCTTTGTGTGCAGCATCTGTTTCATGTGCGGAGACGTCAAAATGAAAGTCCTCAGGCTCGTATCCATTGATATGGTCTTCGTCGTCCTTCCCTCTGTCAAGATCTGCTGCGAATTGTCCATGCATGAAGAATGGAGTGTCTTCTCCCTTTTTCCTCGCCTCCCTGAAGTCGTCTCGAGCGTCCGAGCATTCGTAGCGTATGTTACAGAACTTCCTGATAGTGAGAAAGCGTTCATTGTAAATGTGACTGTCGTGCGCCGCCTTCCAAGACTGGTCGGGAGCTTTCAAATCGGCGCCAGATCGCCAAGGCTTAAATAACGTAAGCATGGTGATGTAGAAGTGTTCCAAGTTTCCCTGGTCCTCTCTCGGTAGCAGCCCCCCTGCAAACTGGGGAATACGTGCTCTGTGTTTCTCTAACATGGTGATTACATGGGTCAGCCTCTGGGGATGCCCAGGTAGAAATTTGTCAATCTTCCTCGAGCGCTTTGGCGCGTCCTCTTCCGCATCACCGTCCGTTTGAGGCTCGTAGTCACTCTCCGCTTCGTATAAATCATCTCTCTCGTCAGCATCGTCTCTCTTATCCTGATCCTCTTCTCCATCTGATTCCGGTTCATGTACAACGTCTTCTTCCCTATCTGGCTTCCGAGCTCTGGACTTACGTACCGGTGTCTTCACATACCGTTCAATCCATTCGTACAAAGTGAGTTCCTCGTATTTCTTTGGACGTAAAGTGTAATCCTGAGTGGTTGCGTATGACACGATTTTTCCGTTCCGGGACTTGGTGAGTATCACACGTTCTTCCTCCCCGTCATCCACTTGGTCTGCGAGTGGTGTCATATCCTTCCAAGCATTTTTTACTTCGGCCACAAACGGCCTCCAAAAGAAAGGCTTGTATTCAAAATTCGTGTAGTGATCTGGAAATCCCAGGAGATATGCGGATGCCATAGGCGCCCCGATCTCCTGTTTAACAGTTAAAGAGTTCGTGATCTGAACCAGCAACTTGTGTGCCTTCTCTTCCTGTGTAGAATCACCGTTGAGAAATTCGTCGTTTCTTTTGAATACACTTCGGATGACATCAAACATAGTATGTGTCCGCAGAGGGTTCTTTGTGATGTAATCAGTAACGTAGGCGATGACAGCCTTGATTGCCGTACCCGACAGAAGACTCGTGACATCGGAATTACATCGCATCAGATAGGTCAAGACTGGATTGAAGGTATTCAGCGTTGGCTCTCCATGCTTCATCTCCACATGACCCGTTTCAGGATCAACGTTTGATTCCTGAACCACCTTACGCGGGAAACGTGACTTGCATTTCGGGTATTTCTTTGATGTGCAACCGGCATGGCATTCAGCGTGCCTATTGACTCTCCACAAAAGTTCGTCTACTTCATGATCCATCTCGCTCTTCCATTCTCGATGATCCTGGCATTGTGAGCACTTGGAACATCCAATGTCGCAGACGTCAGGGGGGGGCGATGGTAGGGCGTATGTGGCGTCCCTGAAGCCGTCTTGTCGCGGTGCATTCAAATCCTCCGCAATTGAAGTGGGGTCTGAAGCAACAAACGCGCCTCGGTGACAAGATTCTAGATAATCGATTAGTTCGCGCTGGAACTCACCATCCTTATCCTCTAATCTTTCCCTAATCTCCTGAGGCGACAGAGAGTTATACAGCCACATCACGAGATGCAGATGGAGTCGTAGTCGTCCTTGTTCTTCTACAGTTCCGTAATATCCAGAGCAGTCACCAAACAACCCCTGCGTGCCCGACCCATATCCGAGTATGTGCTTGATAAACGCCTTCACCATAAAATGGAAAAATCGTGCACAAGCCACAGGATTCTTTGCTATCAATCGCTCCATCTGTTTAACCTCGTAAATTTTGGGATATATGCAATCTGACTGGCCAGCCATATACAAAGCTAGTGGATGATGCGTGTCACTGGGAGCGAATGTGATAAACCATGATGGTGCCCCTCTGCTACATATTGTGGACCATAGCTGATTTTTCATATTTTTCTTGTTCGTCTTCGAGTTAGATACATGTTTACCGACATGATCAAGGTCGTGAATCACTTGGAAACACAATTTCTCTTCTTCGGTTTTCGCCACGACATGTTCCCCACTCTCCATACGAGAGTACAGTGCTGTCAACACGGCAACATCTATATTCAGCATGCGCTTTGCGATGTCGGAGAAATTACTTTTTTTCGCGGTGAGGAAGCCACCTGTCGCACCTTGTTTTATCTGTTCATGATTAAACGCGACTAAGTGGAAGTAAGGATCTAACTGAAAGCGCTTGTCGTGGTATAGGAGCAGCTGACGCTTGCGTGTAGCATCCCCAATCTTCTTACCCTTCAAAAGAATTTCCAACCCACCTATGCCATATGGAAATAGCCAAGGAAACGCATTAGGGTACAGACTGGGATTGTTATACAAACTCTCTGGTTGAGAACCGCGTCCGACACCAAAGGCGGTATTCTTTTCGCTTTCTTGAAGGTGGAGGAGAGCCAAGTACTTCAGCTGCGCATCGTCTGTGTTGATTGCCAGTTCTGCAGCCTCGACTGTATGTACGGCGAAAGGGCAAGTCCCTTCTTCGGTACCCTCATTCTCGGGCTCAGCATACACGCCCGTAGACTCTGACTCCTTATCCCCTGTCCAATGACGATAATTGACTAAGACCGGAGGTTCGTCATCGCTATATGTGTCAAGGTTCTCTCGAGATAACGTCAAGTCCTTATATCCATCATGGTTAAGTTTCAGCCACGTTAAAGCTTCCCAGACCTTGTTACGTCGAACAAGCATGGGTGCTCGTTCGTGGTCCTGTTTCGTTGGCTTATGCGGACCGATAAAGAGGTATGCGAGGACCTCGTCCAGTTCATCTCTCCGCGGCGGCAGGATATCGTATATCTTCGCCACAGGTGACGGAAACATAATGGCATTCGCTCGCATCTTATAATGCATAGACGTCGTCACCTTGACAACACAGTAATTAAACCGGACACGGCTGATCAACAATCTTTCGGCAAACGTCAATGCTTGCAATTCCTCCGGTACATTTCCCAACCATAAACCATTCGCCAGCGCATAAGGAGGTCGTTTCGGTTTATCGGCGGTCAAATAAGACAGACAACTTTTGCACGCCTGTCTGGGGCACGTATCATCTATAACAGGGCCCTCTATATTTCGCGTCTGATCTTCTTCCGTTCGTCTTTCCCTCTTTGTCACACTGGCGGTTTCATCCTCAAGCAATGCCCAATCAAAACTGTCCTTGTTAACATCTGAGAGATCCTTACAAAGCGTTAACTGACCACAGATCATGCAACCGGACTCTAACACGTTGGATGGTTCAAACTCAGAGCAGAACGAAGAAATAATATGCTCCTTTGCGACGTCGTCAAGAGGTACAGGCGGGAAAGACGCCTTAGACGACGATTTTCCGCCTTCTCCTCTTTTCTTCTTGCTAGTGCGGTTACCTTTCTTGGGAGACACCAGCCGCAACGCGGTTACTTGCTGTGAGCAGCAAGGAAGGTGAAGTGCGACATGAGCATCAATACGAGCGACAATGTCCGCATGGCGTTCGTTCCTATGCCTCGTGATACCGTGTCGCATAGAGGCCGCCATCAGCTCAGAAATGGTGAGGCTAGGAGCCAAGGCAGACAATGGAACGTCCGTCACAACAATACCAGGCTCACCAGCAGGCAGCTCATCACGAGAAAGATTCCCGTAGTGTGCAACCAGTTTATAGTCGGAAGAGGTATCGATATTGCACTGTGGAGAATGCGGCAACAAGAATGAACCGGAAAAGGTAGTAGCACGTCCACCGCAACCGAGAAAGATGAATGAGTCCATGTAAATACGTGTCTCTTGACAAACCAGTCGCAAAATAGTGTTTCTCATGTCCAACTTCATACACAAAGCAGATATAGCCGTGTCCAGTTCGAATCTCTGTGCTATTGAGTGTAAAACTGACGTGAATGCTGTTCTAATCGCACTAATACTCGGTCTGGACGCAAAATCCAGTTGACGTCGTGAGTGCTGGGCTGGACCATACCCCAGGTTGGGTAATACAACAGCCGTCGATTCATGGTTACGAAATATCTCTATGACATGAGATTCCAATGACCAGCGTCGGCCATGATCCACAAGTAAGGACGCTTTTGAGACGCAAACTACTCCCGGAGACGTAACACAACTCCCAGTCTTAGTCGAAGACCCGCGAATATTGACACCTAACGATCTGGCCTGTTCCAAGGACATTCGACCCGCAGTACCCACTTCCGAGCGTTTGATTCGGATTTGAACAATGTTTTCACGAAGTGCATCTTGGCACAGCACAAATTTTCCGCGGGTGCGAGCCGCGCCGCGCTTGCGCGGGAGAGTGTCTTCGACGATTGTCGGACGCCGATGCATTGCATCAAATGCGAGCAAGACACACTCAATGAAGGAATGTTCGACAACAGAAGAGATAGTGATACGAGAGTTCAGAGGCATGTGGTAGGTTGGGTGCAAGAGGTAGGAGGGAGAAGACAAGACTAGACTAGATGTAAGATAAGACATTCTCACGGAATCTGTCAACCGCGGCTCGGATCACCGACCGGGGCCCGCGAAAGGCGAGTGTGGTAAGCGAGCTTACGATCTACACTCAATCGGAAGAAGTTAGAAAGCCGAGCCTTCTGGTTCGCCCACCCCTCCTCGTGTTCTTCATCCAGGAATCGTTTTTCGTCCTCTGGAACTTTGCCAGCTGGCCTAGAGCCGTATACGATCCACTTGATCAAATGACCAGATACGTATTGGGTGAAGCTGTAGCGGGTCTCGTGTGCTGCGATTGGCGTATTCCCGTGTCGCAATCCTGACGAGGATAGAAGGGCGAGCGTCCCGGATGGGAATTGAATAAAGATCCCGTAATCAAACGCAATAAGATGTCCGCCAAGCGTAGGTTCGAACGAGCCAAAGGAATGCAAGCTTCCCGGTGTACCCGGGTAGTCGCCTCCATCTGCATGTTGAAAGCTGACACTCTGAGGACCGAGGTTCATAGTACAAGCGGGGAACACGCTATTGTCAAAAGCAAACTGCAAATGTGGGTGTCGAGTGTGAAGCTCTCGCATTCGGTCGCAGAGATGGCGATGGGCCATAGGAAATAGTGTCTCCAACGCCACTTAATGTGCGGCTAAGTATGAGGAAGATGCGATAGTGTGAAGTATAAGGACTTACAACTGCCGCGCCCAGCAAACTCTCTTAAGTCTGAATCATTAATTAGCTCGTCTACAATCGATCGCTCTGCCGAGGTAGTCGAACTAGTATTCGTCGGTTCCTGTATATCTTAAGTCCGAAATCAAAGACAAGACGACAAGAGCTACTACCTTTCTCCCCCCTCCGTATCCTATTCCGAAGGTCACTGTTCCAAAGTCTCCCTTCGTATGATGGCCGGCTTTCCCAAAAAACGGGCGTTCATCCCTGGACCTTAGTTTTTCGGCTGTCGTTGCATATCGAGCGGCTTGTTCGTCCCATAGCTTGGACTCCAGTAGCGATAGACCTATGGGCTTCCCAACCATAGCCATAACCATCACATCGTTCATATCGAGTATGACGAAAGTGCCTCTGCAAGGGATTATTAATATGTATCACACGAAAATGCGTGCACAGTACTGACGTTCCACCCCAAGGGATTTCTACGAAACCAGCAGCCAACAGCTCAGTTACAGTCCATATTTTTCTGTCGGAGAAGTGCGCGGTAGTATATCCTCCTTTCTGCGTGACGTAATGAATCTCATATGTCTCCAAGCACAGTACTTTGGCCATGACCGGACGGTCATAGAACGACGAGCACTGGAGCACGTCGTACGGACGGTGCGATATAACGGATACGACAGCCATAGACTCTTTACTTTAGGATATTAGAACAGCAAGACTCAGGACAAGGTGGTTGGTGGCGACCAAGGAGGAGAGAAATCGAGCTTGCCAAAAACACGAACATACTGCACGTGACCGGCACGTGCTCGCAAACCGCGAGACCGTCTCGCCGTTTTCTGAAAACATTCCCACGCTTCTGGAGGCGGACACAAATGCCAACCTGAGACATTCAATTTTCTCCGTATCCAACAAGACGCCCATCTTGGAAAGAACTACAATGTTCTCAAGGGAAACTGCTGCGGTATCAAGCTATGACTTGTCAACTGGTGATTTTCTCGCAGATTGCTCTTGCAGGACGGTCACTGAAAATGTAGTAGAACTCAACGCCTGCCGCGAGCGACCATATCACCTTCATAGAAGCGCAGGTGAAATAATGACGACACTACGTCGTCTGCAAGCGTCTGACCTGCAACATCGAACCGCCAGTGCGTGACCAGCATATCTTAGAACCCGTAGCCGATGATGACTTGGCAGGCATGCACATATACTCGGACTTACGCTTACAGTCTTGCCCTCTGTTTGACCTCTACCCCCCATCGTGGGAGACCCCATGTGCCGGAGCTACGGCCTGCGCTCTGTCCAATGGAGGTGGACCGGACGGCATAAGCAACATTGCCGCGATTGGTACGAACGACGGACTTGTTTACACATTAAACCTGCACGGTGGAGAGTACATGAAACCTGTTGGTAAGTTAGTATAACTCCGACACGTGCCATACTCAATATTCCTCAGCTGTGTACGCGAACAGCGCTCACATATCGAAAGCTTTGATTCTCGACATAGCGTGGGCTGAAGATGACAGTCTCTTGGCTGTAGCAGCTGGGAACGGTGTAGGATTGGTCCTTGACGTCGAATCTGGTCGATGCCTGAATCAACTGGTTGGGCACAAACTCAGTCAGAAGAAGATCAAGTGGCAGCCGAATAACCGACGCATTCTAGCGACTGGCTCACGGGATGGGAACGTGCGTGTGTGGGACATACGCAACTCTTCGAGTTACATTACTGAGCCTGTGCTGGGCATCGACGCACCTCATGGAGCTCCGTGCACCGTTGGACGAAACGTCGCGGTAACAGACGTACTATTTCAGGACCTCAACATCATTACAACGTGCACCAACTTTAACGCGTCTGTCTCATTCCCAATACAGGGCAACCGACGCTGACCACTCAACAGAATCATTAAAAGCTGGGATATAAGATCAGTCAGATACGACCCTAACGGATATCCAATACCCTGCACACAGTCAAGTTACAATCCAACGGCTATGACGATCAGACCACGAGGGATATGTGGGATGGTTAGATCCATACACGGTTCACTTTACGCCCTAGCAAGGGACTCGGCGATATATGTCTACGATGCACTGACGCTTGCGCCTACGACAACTGTCCTTACCGATGACGACCTACAGACAAACTCGTCTTTCTCGTCCATTGGGATGTCTCCGTGCCAGCGTTGGATTTCAGCGGGAGGCCTTCATGGGGCGGTAATCGTCTTCAATGTGGAAAAAATTGGGTATTGGAACGATGACAACTATAAACCTCCACCAGCATGCCTCAACGACTTTCATGGCGAGATTAATGCCATGGACTGGGGACAAGGAACACTCGTCACAGCTTCCGACTCGGGTATTGTACACGTGTGGCGGAACGCGGTATGGGAGACACGGCACAGCTAAATTAATGGGGTTAGATGTGTGAATAGACACAAGTTTTACGAGTATCGATGTTGCGTACCCTGTATGGCCTACTCGCTAGATTTCTCGAGTCTCGACTTTTTTTTTTTATTCCCCCGCCGAATCTTCTGGCGCTTTCCTTCTTGAAAGCTCAGAGACTTGCGAAAGATCGGAGGAGGAGGGAGTTTAGGATTGCATAATAAAGTTGGCGAGAAGCCGGTGCAGCTCTTACACAAGCAACGGTCGCGATAGTATCCTTCGCGCGAATAGCGGACCGTTACTTCCTCGCCCGCTGCTATCAATTCGTTGACTACAAAAACGAACGCCGATGTGCCGGGTAAAGCCAGGATCTGGATGCCCTGTCATACGACGGAGATCGGTGAGGCAGTCTCATGACGTACTTGAGCTTTAGCCTTGCAGTCGTGATTGCCGCAGCGTAGCGGTCCTAAGACAGCGTGAGGACCAACGATGCCTAGTTGTTTGTGATCGCTTTGAACGATAGAGGGACCGTCCACGTGAACTAAGTCGCTTGTCATACTAGTGCATGTCTCCTTGATAAAGAACCCGGGTGGAAGTTCGTATCTTGCTCTGATGCCCAGTGACACGGTATCTCCAAACTGGACTTTACATAGTCGTATGGGACAATCGCCCTGATACAGTAAAGCATAGCGATATAGTACACTGAAACAAAATATGAATATGCTGTCGGAAAACTGAACCCACACGCACTGGTTCAAGACCCGAGACCACAATATTCCTTGTCGACGAAAAAGTGGTATTTGTACCAGCTCATCGCATACGCAGCGAACAGAATCTTCTAGAGATTCCTTCAAAGTGCCGTTCGTAAGAAAGAGGCAAATTCTCGCCGCGCGCCTGATGTCACGGATAGCATCAGGCGCCGACAAGCGAGAGTCGGTCGAAGAGCCAACGAAACGAATTGAGTTCCACAATACGGTGTCGTCTTTCCGTAAGAACAATGTGTGCACAATTAGATCATCCGCGTAAGAGACCAGTTCGAAGGGGTAAGATTCCATATTCAAAGCGTTCACCCGGCGGTGGATGGGATCATCGGAGGGAAGATCAGGAAACCAAGAAGCTGTGTGAGTTGCTGGAGCAGTAGCACTCTTGCGGGGGCGTAGCTGCCTGGTCATGACGGTCAAGGTGCAACAACCACCGAGCGCCCCGCACTAAAAGAAGGTCGGAGATGATGGCCGATCATTGTTTGTGCATGTTTGGACACCGCGTGCTATAAGAGCAGCCACACCCACCATCCGCGCTCTTCTTCCAACCACCACCATTGCCACGAAGCCTGTTGTTTGCCTGATCGGCGTTGGTAAATAATGGAGATGTGCTATACGTCATCGCGGCAGCACTCTCCTTATGGACTGAGGCTGTGAAGGCAAAATGCAGGTTTCAGGTTGTGCAAGATCTTGTCGAAGGTGGACATGGTGGCCCGACGATGTACACGTTCACTGTATTAGTTAACGGCGGTAGTCTACGTCAGGCACGTATCGAACGTAGTTCGTGTTCGTGGCCACGTCACTCATCACGTGATCACGTTGACTCCATGTCGTCTCTTGCCTTCGGGGCGGCTTTGGAAGAGACACGAAACGTTCAATGCGTACAGCGTACTATGCATGATTGCGACACAATGGCACATCATGCAGCTGCAAGAAAAGGCTCTATCCTCATAGTACCCCATGTGTGCCATGCAATACACGTGTCAGCAGTGCGCAGATCAGAGTGTCATGCTGAGAACGACACACCCGTGGCCTGGAAGCTACTGGCACTACCGAATCGAGCTATAGTGTTTTACGTGGACCCTGCTGTCGGGCGACCACTTTGGCGTGATGAAAAACGATGTCGGTATCGAGCGTGCTGCATAAGTCGACGTAGGACCACTGCGGCGCGTCTCATGTCAGCTTCAGAATAATAAAACTGACGCCAGAAAGCAAGAGCAAGACCCGACTAAGAATGCAGGGCGGTCGCGCGCACGAGAGTAGGGACAGTATGTCACTCAGCGCTCATGCATACATACGTCGCAGCGCGGATTAATGGATACGCACTCGTGATGACGCGCGACAGAGCTCGGGCTTGCTTGCCGTCTCCTGCACACGGACATCGTGCCTTCTTGGTCAGTCTGAGACAATGTACTCAGACGCGAGCCGCCAATGAGCCCGGTTGCAAATATGACGCACATTGCGACATAAACACGTGATTCTGCAGTCCAAGACACGAAAACGAGCCTGACGGGGATTGCTATCTACTCGAAACCATCACAGTCGTACCCCTAACGTATCAAATACCACCACACTGTCTCGCGCACCCATAAGCAAAGTGAGTTGTGATCAACGAAACAGGACACATGCTGAGCAGTACTGCTACAGGACGTTATGGTTAGCCACTTGATAATACTGCCTGAAGAGCTACTGGTGGCAATCGTTTTGTATGTCATTGGCTCTCCCAATGAGATAACCCGCGAACGGTCGATGACGCCCCTCCGACTGCGCTGCATCTGTCGCAGGATTACATCTATCGTAGACAACTGCCCGTTATACTGGAGTCGTGTGCTCTGCCTGGTCCGGGATGATGCGTCTTGGAAGGCAATTCTTCCGAAAACCAAGGAGGCACCCATCACGTTCCGGACTTCGTCAGGTATTTCGCCTAAACATCAAGCGTACGAGCTACGGCGCACATCTGCTGCATACATCACTCGAGACGACCCAGAACTGCCGTGGAACAAGCTCCTCACGGTGATAGGAGCTCTTCCAGCTCTACGCGAACTGGAATTGAAGCGTCCTCATTTCAACATGGCACACTACGGGGAGCTGCAGTTGAATGCTCCGAATCTTCGCCATCTCGTAGTAGATTCCGACGCCACACTTCTTACGCCACTCTTACGGTCGTTGGAAATCACGCGGTTCACGCGCGACACCACTGCAATGTTAAGGAGTGTCATACAAGCGAGCCCCTCCCTGGATACGCTGTCTATCAGCGACATTGTATCTCCAGACACTCCCTTGTGGCCGAGTACGCTGGACGTGATCTCCCGCTCACAAATCGCAACACTGTTTGTTCAGCTACACAACTGGGACAGAATGGACCTTCCTCCAGCAGTTCACTTTCCAACTTTACGACGCTTGACAACCAACGTACCAACTCCGGTTTTGTCATCGACCCTGGAGTACTTGGATACGGAGGTGCCGATCGATCAAGTCGAAGTGATGCTTTCGGGCGTAGTCGCAGTCGAGACGTTAAAGATGTCACTCACTTGGCAGTTGCCCGACTCTCACGAGCCTCATCTCTTCACCATTCTTCCGCGTTGCCGAACTATGATCTTGAACAACGGACGCTCGGTGGTCGATGCTTTGGCCGATTTCGTCACGAGAATTCAGGCCCCTCAACTGGAGCACTTCACGGTACACTTTCACCCGTCGGTGTCTAAGAACGCGATATCTCAAGCAAATGGAGTTCCTCCTTGTCTCAGTCGCAACATCATGCGAAGCTCCATGCGGAAGGCGCATCGGCAATTGACACACCTGTCCTCTTTCTTTGAAGCGCACATGCAGGGAACGGTCGATCTCAACGTGCACACACAACACTATGACGACAACGCGTGCATCACATACCGCATTTCGGATCACTTGATACGGGCCCGCTCAAAACCAGGAATCGAGCTCCACACAATCTTTCCTTCTGCGCGGTGTCAAGTTAATCATCGCCATGCCGACCTTGCCTCAATCGCATACTCGCTGACAGCGTTCGCATGGCCGTCAGTGAACAAGGTCTCAATAGCGTCGTCACCGTCACTCACACGTTCGAGACGCGCACCGCACATCGACCCAGACATCTTTTATGCGACTCATAAAGAGGATCGGGTTCTGTTGAGGCGCAACTTGGAACTCATGTGTGGCGTCCGCACCTTAGAGTTCGATATCACGGAGACCGTATACCGCAATGGGTCTGCTCTGCTGCTCCTACTGGCAGAGGACACCACCGTCTGCATATGGCCACATCTGGAACAAGTGCGAATTCGCGGAGTCCGTCAACGAGCAGACGGTTCCTCCGTCCTGGGAGAATGGTGGAAACAAATCAAGACGTTGTTGGCGCGTAGGCTGAGAGCGAGCCAGTCTGGCTCATGTGCACCAATCAAGATCATCATTGCGAGCGACGAGGTCGGGACATGGGAAGGAAAGGGGGCACAATCACAGTTGACGGAGGTGCAGGTACTCAGACAAAGTGTGCAACTCACATATGAGCAATTATGAAAGGTTTGTAGGGGACGATATTCACACAGTATTACGCAGGATAAGGGTATATTTAGCATCTCTAGTAATGAGATACAACATTAAACTCTGCCAGATAATAAATACGGCCATACTATTTGGTTTACTATTTTCGTTCTTTTTCTGGATATTTCTGTGAATATACTGGGTCTGTCAATGTAACCGAGGAGAAGAAGGGACAAGAGAAGACCAGAAGACCAGGGAAATCTACAGATCAGAGTGGTAGACTCCCCGGGGAGTGACGAGAACCTGTGCGCCGATTAAGTTCAAAGACACGGTTCCGGTGCCGCGCATTGACACTATGCAATGGAGGGCGACCAAACTGTCATCGGGGATCTCCTCGGTAAAGCGGTCGTCGGGAGTGTCAACTTGTGTGAGGATGTTCTCCGGATCGAAGCCGTCCCTCCAATCTTCGCCGACGTGAGAGAGTAGGAAATGTTTGCGAGAGTCGAAGACGGGTACTAAGAATGATTAGGACTCCGAACTCGACGGTCAAAATGGCATGCTTACTATCCGCCATGAAATTCTTCGAGATACGACTGAGAGCGGGGTTGACGCCGCGCGAAGCACGAGCAGATGAGCCTTCCCCCGCATTGGTACGGACATGATCAGGCAGCTGCTTTCTCCCTACAAATGGTTGACAAACACGAAGTCATGCAGGAATGGAACAACGCACCTTTATACTTGTCTCGCTCACCCCACATAGACGCGGCTTGCCAAGCGTTCCCACGAGTAAACATTTGACACTTCTGGTTAACAGGCGCGAAGATATAATGGAAGAAAGCCAACGACCGCTTGTAATCCTCAGCGAGAGGATAGACGTTAAGAGAGTGGTAAGCGCGATTGAGGGGTGCACGCTCGCCGCTAGGTTCATCGAGCCGTATCATGTACGACCCATCAACAGCAACGAAAGCGAATATGACAACGTCCACAACGTCTCCGTCACGCACAAGGTTGACGACGGTCTTGTTGTTTGCAGTTGTGTACTTGGACGTTGAGAGGACTTCAGGGCTGACACGCGACGCCACAACCACTTTGCCGTTGGCGCATTCCGATATCGTCATAACGGACTTTAGTCGACTAGAGACAGGTTGAGCATGGGCATTCGCGACACAGAAGAAACGCTCACTCAATCGATAAATTCTCCTTGTCAAAGAGAGGAAATCCGTTCACGACCGTGTCCAGATGGGCGAGACTGACGGCGCCAGTCTCTTGCGGGGTGTGAAGGATATTACCCCTGTGAAGATTGAGTCAGTGGCTCGGGAAAGCAACGAAAAATCGTACGCACGACAGATAGGCAAAACAGTTGTCGAAAGTGCCGTCCAAGAATCCACCATGGCCCTCGTAGTCGGTAATGCGACATTTACCCTAACAAACGATGAGATGTTGACAAACCCCAAGCGGACAACCACTCACGTCCTTGACAAGTGGTCTAGAAGAACCGGCTTCGCGGCTATTGACGGCGGAAGATCGTGCGTGACTGTATATCACAGCACAAGTCAGACAGATAATTAAAGATAGAGCCCAGAAACACTTGCCTGAGTCCGCTATCCAGGGCCCTTCCTCTCTTGCTTGGAGACTCCCGATCAGAAGAAGCGGAAACAGAACGCCGTCTGCGTTTACCACGAGATTTGGCTGTGGTCTGGTCGAATGACTCACTACTAGAATGGAGTCGTGAGAATAGAGATGTGTAACGATAGTGTGAATACGCACGCTACCTCCTTGGAGCTGGCTCGTCGTGTAGGGCGCTTACGAGACGGGCGATAATCATCACTGTCCACGGATGGGGAACGATGCGATCTCTTAGATTTCTGAGGCAAGCGCGGATTGCTATGCGAACAGTAAGCTCCTGGAACAACGGTATAGGATAGACCATGCACACCCTTTGATGTTGAGTTCCATGACTTTGCCGCCTTCGGTCTTGGCTATAACTGACTTCCGAGTTGGTGGTTCCCTATAGCAGGGTGAATATTCTAAATCCAATCCTGCATGGAGTAACCGTACGCACATATCAACGGCTTGGCCAGCCGTAGTACCTGAGTCAGATGCTCTGCGGCGGCCCTCCGAACGCCCGCTATATCGTTATGAGTTTTTTCTCTGGATCGAGACGCGCTCGCCACTTACGCATCAAGGTCATGGACAGGCCTGGTAGCATCGCCATTACCGTTCTCGATGGGGGAGCGTGATCTGACAATGACATTGAAGACTTAGACAAAGCACGAAGATAACAAAAACGAACCTGGAAACAGGCCTGCGTTTGTTAGAGCGGCGTCGAGGCGGAGGCGTATCATCATCAGGAACGACAAAGCCATCCAAGTCTCCATCTGAGTTCTCATCATCTTCCCGTATCCCACGACTACCTTGCACCTGGCCGGCCTTCGTTGACTTAAATTCCAACTTGCGAGGCGTAGAAATAGTAGGCGGCAAGTCGGAATCACTGAGTTCGAGGACGTCCGGTACGGATCGGCTAACCAAGTTCAGAGACGTGTTCAAGGGTAGAGATTAAGCAGTACCTCTTGTTACGCTTAACACGTACAGCGAGCTCGTCTTCTGAGCTGTACGCAGAGTACGTTTCGTGACGGCTGTCGTTAACGTACCTGAAGATTATAAGACGAAAGACAGATGAAGGTAGAATTGAACGCATACCGAGGACTTTTACGAGCGTCGCTCGCCTTGGGAGTCGGGGGAACAGGTAGAGGTTTACGATTGGTGGGGGGCGGAGAAGCATAGCTAACGAAGGGTCAGGTAATGATGGCATGTAATCAAAGCTTACTCACGCATTACGAGCAGTCTCCGGAGTCATGACCGGGTTGCGGTCGGGCTTGCGAGTCTTGTCCACTTCCGGCGTTTCTTCGCGACGCCTCTCTCTGCCCTCGAAACGTACCGCACGATCACGAGTCCGGTCATAGTCGTCATCGGACCTACGATTATGACCACGATCTTCAGGAGACCGATAACGCGTCCGGCCTTGAGACTTGTAGTTCGCACGACTACCATCGCGGTTGTCCTCGCCGGTCCGTACTCTACTACCAATGGCACAGCAGGAATTAGACGATGAAAAAACAAAGCTCGAGAGGGGACGTACGCTCCCGGAGTAGGCGAACCAGGAGGCGATGAATAAAGAGTTTGCGAGCTGCTGAGAAAGAAGCTTTAACGACAGCCAACACGACAGGGTTAGATGACCGACTCGTGAGACTTTTTGACAGAATCCACATCATAAGACGGGGACGTGTCGCGCCTCTTATCCCTTCGAAGAGTATCAGCAAGTGGTACGTCTGACAGACGAGAAAGTTACGAACCCCTTGTCGCGCTTTCGGCGAACTTGACGGTGAGAGCGATCTTCATCACTATAGTCATCTTCTACGTCGGACGCCGGAGAACGCGCCCTGCGAGCTCCAGAAGATGAGAGGTGTGGCGGACTATATCCCGTAAGACAGAATAATAACCAGAATGAAGTTGTTAACTCACCGACCGCGTCGATCATCGAGAGTCTGAGAGCGACGGGATGGCGCAGACGCGTCAGACCTATACCGTGTGCTGCAAAGATGAATACGCGAGTCATTATGCGAAGACCAGACACGAACTCGTCGTCTTCGTCATCGTAACGAGAGAGCTTGCTGCGCGACTCGCGAGGACGGTCATCCTCCCGGGCAGATCGAACAGACATCGTGAAAACGCGTTCTACTCGCTCACTAAACAGGAGAGCTTTAAGTACGTCCGTCAATCGGACAAAATTCTCACAGGACCATCCATCTCCATCCCGTGTCCGACGGATAACGAAACACCTTCGCTCTGGATAGGAGCGGATACAAATGTTAGGCCCCTCAATTTGGGCACGGCCGTGAACGGTACGTACGATGCGGAGGCATTATGCATCGGATCCAGGTCGACAAAGTCGCGCGCCGGACAGGGCTGAATCAGGAACGGGGGAGGAGATAGGAAGAGCCGCCTGCGAGAAATGAGAATAAGAAACCCTGTCTCGACGCCGATCCCAGATCGCGACTATCTTACCTACGCTCCGTCTCACGATGAGCTCCTCTATCCTCGACAACTACTTGTGCAACGACGTACACGCGGAGATATACGCAGACATAGATCGCTTTATGGACATGGGAGGGGAAAAGTGTGACCTGGGCCGGTACTCCGACGTCCGTACAGCATAGATCGTATCACTCCAAGACTGACTGGAGACTCAGGGAACCACACTACTCATGGAGACCAATGTACACAAGGATGACAAGCGCGGATATCTCGCGAAGTCGGACAATGATGATGAGGAGGTCATAATCACAGTCACTGGCGTCCTTATGGAGACCAACCTTCCGCCGTACATGGATATCGCCAGGTTAGCCATCCAAAAGTGATAATTCTATTCAGCTGACATAAAAAAGTCTTTATCGCACACGTCCCAACAAAAAGGACGTGCCCGTCAACCGCGTGTCTATTGGCTGGTTCGGCCACGGCAACTTCGAGTCCAACCGACTCGCCTTGGAGCACGTTCGCAACAACTTCCAACGCAAGTTCGCGTCGGTCGTCGATAACCAGTTCCTCGTCAAGGCGGGCGTCCCGATGATCAGCCTAGAGAATAGGATTGTATCGAAAGTTGACGATGTACCGCTTGATGTCCTGGACGCCACTCTCAACAAGGCGTATGATCCACGTGATATCATCCGCAAGAACCTGCTGGACTCTGGCAAGCACCGGTTCGTTGATGACAATACCCTGGCGTTCTACAAGCTTGTCACGAAGGACGGGTGAGTGCTTATACAGAGTGCGACTGCTTATTTTAACGCCAATTGAACAGGGACGACATGCAAACCGAACCATGCGCTCCCGAGGAATTCAAGATTGGCATGATCGTATGCGTGCGGGCGACGCCAACTCTCGTCCCATCAACTAAGGGAGGACACAAGCTCATACTCAAACTTCGCTCTCTGCTACTCGTTGACGACAAAATATACAAGGTGTGCACGACTACGGCAAGGTTCTACATAGACGCTCATTTGGCTACAACAGAAATTCCTCTTCGCTCAGAGCTTGAACGATGTTGAGAGCGTGCCCAAGCCCGGATCTGGATTGAAGCGGTCTGCTTGCGACAACGATTGGCTCAACCCGAAACGCCGCGCGATGGACATGGGTGACGCTCAGATCAGAGAGAAACGCCATAACGGACAGGGAAAGAAGAGAGTAGCGGGCGACGAGAGTCTGGTTGAGAAGATGCAGGGACTTGAAACATCAGACACACAGAAGGAAGGACAGGCGTCCTCATCTTCATGAGTAGCACAAGTGTTTCGTTGTCAACGCGCCAATATCCGCTTTCGGTAGCATGTTCCCACAGTCCGCGAGACCGTCTCGCCGTTTTCAATGCACGTGACCCCTCTTTTTTCTCCCCCTCTTCCGAAAATCCGCGAGACTCGGACGGGCGTAGTAATCGTTCCGAATTTGTACCTGATATGTACTGCGCAGGAAAAGTGCCTACGGTTCCTTCCTGGACTCAATTCGAGGGACTCGGAGGAAAATTATAGCGCCAAATATTGACCCCGAAAGATTGGTCAGAGACGCGCCGTTCCGACGACAAAGACCCATACGCCCCTGTCGCGCAGCTAGTACGGGTTTATTATAAGCCTATCTGAGACATAATTTCGATGCTTGCGGGAGGCCGTATTGAAACGGCGATTGTTCGGCCTAGACGCCCTCACTTGTTACCGAACAGGACGCGATCCTCATGCCGATGCCGGGGATGATAGCCAGAAGACCAAGCGGATTTGGTGCCGTGCTTCTAGACGTGCCCCAAATTCCTACTGACACCAGTCTCAGAACGTGAAGGCCAACACGAGTGATCCGATGAGACTGTCTGTCCTTGCAAGCGTCCACAGTGATCGGGGCAACCCCATAGCCTTGTCAGATCGCCTGCGAAGGCACGCACCACACCAAGGAACCAAATTGATACCCACGGAACGAGCCTGTGCCCGGATCACGGCCTTCGCCTATTAGATCGCGCAGCGTAAAACTGACTACCACTACCCGACCGTCACCAGTTAACGATGGCAACCCCCACTGGAGAGAGAGGTCAGTTGTATCGTCTCCAAACACTATTAATACTCATAATCACACCTCGAGATGAAATTTTGACACCTACCGACGAACGCTTTGTTCTATTCCCGATCAAGTACCCAGAGGTGGGTGATCCACACCGAAAAACTGGTACTGTCCATAACGGAATAAACCTAGATCTGGCGCATGTACAAAGATGCTCAGGCGTCGTTCTGGACTGCAGAGGAGATTGACCTCTCGAAAGATCTCGTCGACTGGGACGAGAAACTAACCTGTGGAGAACGTCACTTCATTTCGCAGGTTCTGGCATTCTTTGCAGCGTCAGACGGCATTGTGAACGAGAATCTGGTCGCTAGATTCAGTACCGAGGTACAGATCGCGGAGGCCAGATGCTTTTACGGCTTTCAGGTCATGATGGAGAACGTACATTCGGAGACGTACTCGATGCTCATTGAGACTTACATTCGTGACCACCAAGAGCGGAACCGTCTATTCTCCGCCATCAATACAATACCAACGGTATCTGCAAAGGCGCGGTGGGCGATGAGGTGGATATCAGAAGACGCGCCCTTTTGCCAGCGGTTGGTTGCCTTCGCAGTCGTGGAGGGGATATTCTTCTCCGGATCATTTGCCGCCATATTTTGGCTGAAGAAACGTGGGCTTATGCCCGGACTCACCTTCTCAAACGAGCTCATATGTCGCGATGAGGGAATGCACACGGAGTTCGCCTGTCTGCTTCTGGACACTCTCACAACCCGACCAAGTGGCGCGTTTGTGAAATCCATCGTCCGCGAAGCGGTGACTATAGAACAACAATTCCTTTCAGGTACGCTCTATTAAACACCGGCCTGAAGACGCGCTAACGCTCATGAAAGACGCACTTCCTGTGAGCCTCATTGGCATGAACTCATCCCTCATGATCACGTATATCGAATACGTCGCCGATCGCTTACTGAACGCTTTGGGATGCGACAAAGAATACGGTGTCAGCAACCCGTTTGACTTCATGGATATGATATCAATACAAGGGAAGACAAACTTCTTTGAAAAAAGAGTATCTGACTACGCCCGTCGCGTAAAGAGGGATGCCGATATTGGAATGGTCACGCAGTTGTGAGTACTCTTTACGTTCATGAAATTTATCAAGAGGGCCGACCGAACCTCACCAGTGCAACGGATGAAGAATTTTAAGCGCGAGACCATGCGCCCGGCTGTGTACTCCTCGTAGAAAAAGCATTGTATTGAATTACAGTCTACCAAAGGATCCATTTGATGCCACTTTGTCATTAGGTGACGCATAGCTGATATAGTCGCAGCAAACAAGTCTCCAGAAACAAGAGGGTACGCTAGAAGCAGACTTCAGCCCGTAGGGCAAGCGCGGGCCGCGCGACCTCCATTCGACTCGCATGCATGCGCCATCCTCCGTAGTGCGAAAGAGTCCAGGACAGTGAGACCTCATAGATGCGCATGACACCGGATCGTGCATAAGACCTTGGGCTGTAAAACCTCGTCGCTGATATTTATCCACTGGCAACCGGGTCCGTTGGGAAGTCGCATTGGGTCGGGTGAAGAATTGACCCCGAAGAGTAAGCGTTGGATAAAGGCAGACGACAGAAGTGGCCGAGATGTAGTTCATGACGAGAGAACCCCAAAACGACAAGATCGGAATCACGGCCGATTGTTGCCCACCGACTATGACGTCCACACTACGTCGGAGTGAACTGTGGCTGCGCACCATGCGCGTTACTGATAGAATGGCGGCAGACGACTCGGCATCAACGTATGATGCAGATGACAGCCTGTTATCATCCGCGTGGTAGTCCTCCTTGTTTACAAGGTGGCGAAGCACCTCATCGCGGGCGATGTCACTGGGGACGTAGATGTCTAAGTCGGAAGCGTCATCCAAGCAGCTTTCATGCCGCGAACCAGATGTCAAGACCGCTAAGGCCGTGGATCCGGACACAACCCCCTCAACCGATCCAAGAACACCGAAGAACGCCGAGACATCGGCAACGAAAGGCTTGATACGCCGGCTAACGCGGATACGCCATTGCTCTTGAACAGCCGCCTCAAATAAGGTTGAGACGGAGCGGACTACGGTCAGGTCGAATGCGTCCAGGAATGAGAATATGCAGATAACAATTTCTGGACTGCGGCTGACGACAGAGCTGCCGTGCCTACATTTTGACTAAAGTAAGAGATGAGGTTCCGCAGGATGTTAAAGGCACCTACCAAATGGCAGCAGGAGCAGAATTGACCATTTGCAGGAAAGGGAGTACAACCCGCGATAGCCAGAGTAGGATGTGGACAGCAAGCCCTATGGGCGATGCCCTTTATAAGACACACTTCAACTGACGTCAGTGCGAGACAAAGTCGGTATCCCGCTCCGATTGAGGTCTCTGAACTCGAAAACATTCCCCTGAGCTCTGATGATGCGGCAGTCGCATCATGTCGAAGGAGACTATCGTTATCTCTACAGTCCTCGTACTCTATTGTCCCTGTATTCTTGTAATGCCTTAGTCTAGAACTCTGACTTCTTACGGAACCGGATTAACAAGGCCAGCCTCATACTTCTGTGCATTTGTATCAGGCTTGGCAGTCTATACAACCGACATACCGTTGCGCCGCAGCGGGTACAAGTCAACTCGTTTTGTATAACGCACGCCTGATCGGTTTGTCACTGCAAACAAAATGCAACACGCGGGACGCGACAGTCGAATGATGAAACCGTCATGATTCTCATGCACCATACACATCAGACACAACTACTATCGTACACCACCATGCCAAGAATCAAGAAGTCGTTATACATCCACATGAGCAACACAGAGCACAAACTAAAACGCAAACTTTAGATCGGGGCGAGGGGACGGCAGGAACACTACATCCGGAATCAGTGGCACCCGCTCATCTCCAACGTTGTGTAGCCAGTCCTTCACGTTGACCTTGTACGCGCCACGAGCGTCCGACAGAAGGCGAGAGCGTAGAGAAGCAAAGGCGAAGTTTGGGTACGTGTCGGAGTGGTTGACCGCGAGCTTGTAAATCCCCCGACCATAGTCAAGCACGAGATCGCGAAGAAGCTTGATCCGATCTGCATCAGAGTGCGAGAGATCGACTTCCATACCCTTCCTTGCAATGACGCCTTGCCGGCAAATCCACTCGTGAACGCGACCAGCTTCTTCGCGATAAATGATGCCAGTAGTCGCCTCTATGACAACCCCTTTGGACTTAGCAGACGACTGCGTCTCGTCGTAGGTCGCGACGGACAGCGTTGTCTGGAAGACATTCATGGCGAGCAACGCAATATACGAGGCGGGATCGTGTTCCAGGGGCGGACGACAGGACCGAGCTGCAAAGAGTCGGTTGAGCACAAAGCACAAAGCACAAGGCACAAAGGGACAAAATTTATGAACATACCGCTCGGATCGTACACATCCCCATGACAGGCTATGTCCCCATGCCACCACCAGGACGCAAAGGCCAAGTAGAGTGGCAGCGCTTCCGGGATACGATCGTTCGTGACGATCTTGTCGCCGACCGTGGTGAGAGCGAAGGAGGTTGCATGGTCAACAAGCGATGCAGGCGATATAAAGTACTCTCCGTAGCACAGCGAGCTTTCCACCGTGTAGACCATGTGCGGGCCCGGCCGCATGATACTAATGACAATAAACGTCAGAATACCACGCAAGTATAGAGAGAGATCGTGTACATACAAGATATCACCGGTGCGGAGAAGGATAGACTCCCAACGCATGTCGAGACGCTCGAGCGACTGCCAGTCATCGAATTCGTCTGCACGTACGACACAATGCGTGTCGTTCGCGAAAGAAGAACCGTCGTTGCGAACGCCAACAGCCCATAGCTTGGTGCCAGAAAGAACCTCTACAACCGTTCCGTATCCCCCGCTGTCGATATGTTGGGAGGTCTCCGCCCCCGTAACACCTGCAAGGGCCCAATGCAACTTGGAGGAACAGGCGCCCACATCCAGAACGTCATCACGAGCCGCGATCTTGTATAAATAGGGCAGTGCGTTGAAAGTTCTGAGAATCGAAAAAATCAGGCATGTATTATAAAATAAGAGATGCTGAATAGCTACCCGTGGCCCGCGATATGGGGAATATTGCGCAACCGATCCAAGCCAAGCGGCATATCCAGGCAGTTGTACACATCCCGATCTTCGGAAGGAAGGCCCGCCGTGACAAGCTCTGGAATAGTCTTGTCCACCGTGCCAACAAACGTTGAAGTGATCTTGTTGGTTAAACGCGAGGATGCATTGGTCGACGTAAACGAGCCTCGCGCATCTAAGAACATTGTGTCAAAGAAGGAGCAAAAACACAAAAGGAACGCCCTACCTTGCACCTGAAGGGTTGTGCCAATCACCGGCCGAATGGCGGAGAACGCCTCCAAACCCCAAGCCCAGTAGCCGTCGACTGGACCGTCACGGACCAGTATCGAGTGACCGGCATATATGTCACGAACTTCAGAAGCCGACAACGCAGCGTACTCTTCGTAACCGAAAACACGTATCGCGCTGTCGGCCGATCCCGGTGCGTAAGCTGTAATAGCGTTCGCCGACAACAGCCCTGCAAGTCGTTCCTGAACAGCCCGTGAGTCGGATACAAGCCGGGGTGAAACGAGTGGACTAACGAACCGTATCACGACGCCGGGGAGTCCAAGGCACGTCTACTCGAGCATCGGCCGACCACGCTGGGACATCGATAGGAGAGGCAATGAACTGTTACGCAGATTCATTGAAAAACGTGCACAAAAAGGAGAACGAAGAACAAACGAACGGCAGGAGGCGACGGTGGTTCCGCCGACGGAGGGGACACAGGAACAGGAGTAGGACTCCCACGATCGGAGCGCTGTACATCTCCGGTGAGGTCGGAAGGTCCTGTCCCTGAACCCTCAGCCTGCACGTTGCCGGAGGTCTTACGACGCGAGAAAGATGGCGGTTTCGAGTTGCCGAGGTCGACCTGCTCATCATCCTGTTCCACCTCCATGTCGTCGCCCGCTGCTTCCAGAGTACGGACACTGCCTGAAACACACGTAAAAAATGACTAACAAAAGGAAACACACAGGGTTCTCACTAAGCGGTTCTTGTTCAGGTAATGGTGAAAGACGGCCAAACATCGGATCGTCCGTGTCCGCCGAAGAGGATCGCCGGTCGCGAGAAT